AAAATATAACATAACACCAGTAATTAAATTTTAAAATATTAATTAATTTTTTTTTATTTTTTTCCTTCATTCTTTTATTTATAAATTTTTTTTTTTTTTTTTTTTTTTTGTAGTGGATGAACTGACCTTCCTATTGCAAAGAGAAAAAAGGATTCTTACCTTTTATTTTATTCCTTTCTTTCTTTATTCTGGCGTCAGATGAATGCAGTTGTTAGGCATTAAAGTTATACAAAATTCTATAATCTTTTTTTCGTTTTTTTTCTTCTAGCGATTGAGTGAATATGTGTGTGTGTGTCTTTTTAAAGCTTTGCTGTTATTGAACTCGGAAGCGTTTGTTTGACTATAGTATCTATTTATCTTTTTCAACAAATGAACAAGTATATATTGTCAATTGTTTCAATAGAAACAAATTGTACTGTTTTTATTATGGTCCACTTCAGACAATGACAAGCACCTCCATTTGTGTATAGGTTAATAGATGTGTTCAACTTGAATTTGGGAATATACGTGATCATATGGTTTTTTTTTTTTTTGTTTTGTTCTGTTGAACAAGCTAATGTTCGTGAACATAATATTGTATAAATCATCGAGACAAATAAATTTGTTTTTGTTACAAACCATTTATTTAAATATTTTAAAGAGTACTTGGTGATGACAATATAGATGTGAGTTTTTCTTTTGTTATTGTTGTTACAAAAAGAAAACAAAGTAAGTCTAATTATGAAAGATGAGAAGTAAATTTTTATATTTAAAATTCAATGTCATGACGCAATTTTTTCTTTTCTTCTTTTTTTTTCTTTTTTATTATGTGGAAAACAGTACGTGTTCATCTTCTATTATTGGAATGTTATGCAAGAGAGTTTCACGAACTTTTGTCTTGACATGTTTTCTTTTATTATCCATCTAATGAACTCTTATACAGTTCAATTTGTGTTTTCGTCTCGATAGTAATTGATCATAATATATCTTTTATTATGTTAAGAGAGAAAATCTTTTAAAACATCGGTACATATTAGCTCAACTCTGTTTGATTATATGTGAGTGTGTGTGTGTGTACGTTCTTTCTATAAGAATTGAATAAAGTAAAAAGGAGAAAGAAAAGATCACACCTTACAATAAAGAAAAAGTGTCATTGTTTACCAAATGTGTTTTATTGTTGTATGTCGATTGATTAAGTATTGAACGAACGTGTGACATAGTTTTATTTTTTATTTTTTTGTTTTTAATAGATTGTCTGCGAGACACTTTCTCTTATCACTATTTATGCATGCAAAAAAAGAAAAATGAGTTTTATATTTCATTTTAAAAAAAAAATGTATAGAATATCTCTTTTTGCCTAGCAGAACTTGTAAATAAATACGATACACATAAGTCAAGTAGTAGGAAGAGTAAAGAAATTAGTTGTAGCTGCTATTTTTACTTTAATAGTAAAGAGAGAAAATTTATTAGACACAAATCTTTTATTTTTAAAATAAGACTTTACTTTTTATTTTCAATTTATATACTAACAATTCAATTTTTATTTATCCTCAGGCATTACGAGAAATAATTAGAAGACCTAAAGGTAAAAAAGTATTTTGGTCTACAATAATCATCACTGTTCTACTTTAATTACCTGTTAGGCATTTTAAAGTAAACATTTGCCATATGCTGTAAGAATAAGAGTTTCTCAGCTGTCGTATGACATTAATAATAAGACATCATCATCGTGCTGCATGTTTTGTACGATTGTCTTTTTTTTTATAGTTTATTTTCACTTGTTATCAACAAAGATTAGAATGTCTGATTTTCAAAGAATCTTCTGCAACATAGTCTTGTTATTTATTACATTAACTTTAACAATTGTTTGCTAATCTCTTGCACTGAGTTGTACATGTCGGATGCAAAAATTTTTGTTTTTTGTAAAATTTATCTTTATCATCTTTTTTTTTCATTTTATTTCAGATCAAAAAGGATTATTTACATGGGTGAACCGGTGAGTCTAGTCAAATTTTGAAATTATTTCTTATTATACATTAAAATTGTTTATGTTTAGGATCCGGATATTGATCCAGCATTCACAATCATATCAAAAACGAAACCAGGTTTATTTATCTGGCGCGTTGAGGTAAATCAAACTTTCTTGTCTTCAAGTAAAAACAAATTTTCTTATGTAAATAAATTTTCTTTTTCTTTTAGAATTTTAAGTTAGTTGCTGTACCAAGAGAATCCTATGGTATTTTTTTTAAAGGCGATGCCTATGTTATTTATCATGTAAATATTAATTTCCATTTTGATAAGAAGAAGTAGAAGAAAAATAATATACAAAAGTTGATTTCATGTTGACAAAACATCTGTGTTGTTATTTTAGGCTGAAGAAGTGAAAAAATCATCTATTAATATTCATATTCATTTTTGGATTGGTCTTGAATCAACTCAAGATGAAGCAGGTGTGGCTGCGTATAAAACCGTTGAATTAGACGATTATTTATTGGGTACTGCTGTTCAACATCGTGAAGTTCAAGGAAATGAATCTGAACGTTTTTTATCTTATTTTAAATTTCGTGGTGGTTTAACATATCGTACAGGTGGAATTGCAAGTGGTTTTACTCGTTATGAAAAAAGTATTGAACCACGTTTATATCGTTTAAAAGGTCGACATAATGTTCGTCTAAATGAAATGTCAACAATTGATTGGTCACAAATGAATCGTTCAGATGTATTTTTAATCGATTTATACGATGTTATTTATCAATGGAATGGACATAAATCAAATAAATATGAACGATTACAAGCGATGCAACGTGCAAAACAATTGAGAGATGAACGAATAAATTCAACAAAAATAAATATTGTTATTGTTGAAGATGGTGAAGAATCAAAAATGAGCAAAGATGAATTAAAATTATTTGAAACAAAACTACCGTTAAAAGAAAAAAATTTAAAATTAGATCAACATGTAAATAATGGTAATAGAGAACAACATGAAAATGACGATGATGATGATTTGAAAACAGAACGAGCAGATGCTGCTCATATTAAATTATACAGGTAAACATAAATCATTTCTAGAATATGAAAAAGACATTCACCAGAAATAATTTTTTTTGTGGCATTTGATCCACTATGGACTCTCTTGTAGACTAAACAGAAAGTCTATGAAATTTTTATCCAAAAATACGTTTTTAGACAAGTTTTAGAGCATCGACACGATGTAGTAAAGAGGACGAAGGTATCGATTTTTGAAGGAAATGAGTACCACCATCAGATTCATGTACAAATAACAGTCACTATTTTTAGCAAATATTGTGAAATGATACACGTAAAACAGTTTCGAAATCTTTTTTTTTATAGAAGATTATTGACAAATTTTAACTATTGTTACTACTACTAGACGAACAAATAGTTGTTCTTAATCCTTTTTCTATTCTCAGATGTTCTAATTCATATTTCTATACAGTAAAAATTGCAGATTATCCATAGTAGAAGAGTTGGATGTTGGTCTTGTTTTATCTTTTCGAAAACTATCGCTAGACTTGAACAGATTTTTCGAAAAATATTTTGAAGAAAATTTCATTTCTTTAAAAGTAGATTTGTAATCTATATGAAAAATTTCCATCTGCATCAAATGGCCTATTTATTTATAAAACAGAAAAAACAACAATAGATAACTTTTTTTGCTGAGATTTCTGTTCAGACAATTTTTGTAAAGAATCTTTTTGCGTGTAGAAAACATAATTTTCTTTTTAGTTATGTGAAAAATAAAAATAATATATAAATAAATAAAAAATGTTCTGTAATTAATTGTGATTGTTTTTCTCTCTCTAGATGTTCAGATGAAAGTGGTACATTAAAAGTCACAGAAAAGAAAGCCGGACCTTTAGTCAAGAACGATCTGGATAGTGAGGTAAATGATAAAATAATTTAAGATTATTGTTCAGTAATGTTATTTGTTGTTGTTGTCATTATTGTTAATATTTCCATTTTCAGAAAGATCAATGTGTAAGTAAGAGATTGTATTGCATGAGTGCTCTCGTTCGCTATTGAAAGGAAGCATGAAGCTATTTTTACTTACAGATCCGTAATTTAGACTTTAGATTATGTACTTTAGTTCACATTTTAGAATCAACGATCTCAAAAATGTAGTAGTACTTTTAAACTGCTCTAATCGTCCCATTCTACCATAGTGGATGTATATATTCCATTCAGAGTACAGATTTTATGATATTTTTTCTAGGATGCGTACATTGTGGATAACGGACCGAATGGCATATGGGTTTGGGTTGGAAAAAGATCCAATCCAAAAGAACGACGAGAAGCAATGAGAAACGCATTGGTAAGTGTTTTTTTCTTTTAATCAATTGCATAGTGAAAGTCAAATGTAATATATACATCTTTTTCTATTTTTAGGGCTTTTTACAAAAGAAAGGTTATCCAAAACAAACAAAAGTAACACGAGTTATTGATAATGGTGAACCCGTTGAATTTATTGCTTTGTTTAAAACATGGTCGGATCCAAATCAACAAAAAGGTCTTGGAAAAGTGTATACACAAGGACACATAGGTGAATATATATATTTTTTTTTATTATAATATAACTCATTTTGAGTATATATCATTATGTGTCTTTTCTTCGCTTTTGCAAATATAGTGTCGATCGAGTACGTAATACATTCGAGAAATTACGCTCTGATGTGGTGTTTTTGTTTTTGAGTGAACAATGCATGTCATTGAATTGAAATCAGCTATTATTTGATTGTTTTGAATGAATGAAATTTTTTTTATTAGAAATTTTTCGTATTAGAAATTTTCCTATTACCCAAATATGAGTAAGATACGCCTATAGATAGATCCATTTATATTATACAATTTTTAAGTAATCTACGATGAAAGTACTATTAGTTAAATTCTATTCTAGTAGACAATAAACATACTCGTTTTGAACTATTGTTGAATTGATTAATTATATCTTTCAATAATTTGTTTATAAAGTGAGCTAAACTCAAGCAGTTTTTCTCATATGTATTAATTAGTTTAAGATCTCTGTGATAAATCTAATTATGAATTATTTATATTCTTATTTTCTAGCTAAAATTGTTTCAACTCAATTTGATGCCAGTACAATGCATTCAAATCCACAAATGGCAGCTGCAACACAAATGCCCGATGATGGTAGAGGAGAGAAAGAAATATATCGTATAGAAGATTTTAAAATGGTTCCATATCCTAAAAATATGTACGGTACATTTTTTTCTGGTGATTCATTTGTTATACAATATACATACAAACATGATATGAGAAGTTATACACTAATCTATTATTGGCTGGTATGAGAAAAAACATGATTAAACAAGAAAAAGCGTTATATTTTTATATTTTATTTTCTATAATAGGGTCGACATTCTACGCAAGATGAACAAGGAGCAGCTGCCATTAGTGCAATTGAATTAGATAAAAAAATGGATGGAGCAGCAACAATAATTAGAGTTGTACAAGATAAAGAACCGATACATTTTATGGCCATGTTCCAGGGTCATATGATTGTGTTCAAAGTAAGACATTGATTTGTAATTTAATTAATTTACTTATTTTTAAAATCAAAAATTTGTTCGATTTGTTTAATCGATATCTGAACTAAGAGACATAAAAACTGTCGACGATGATTATTCTTATATCAATTTTTCTATATTTATTTTAATACTAGAATGGTAAACGGAGCGGATTTCGAAATATACAAGACGACAATGAGAACATCGATAACACCTATCTATTAGAAGTTCGGGGATTACATCAATACGGTACAAAAGCTGTACAGGTAAGAAAATACAAATTAATAAGATTCATTTTTGAGAAGTAGGACACATGTGAGGAAAGATTTAATAATTTAGAATACAGAACAATCGATTGATTCACATATAGGTGAACATGTTAGAATCTTGTTAATAGGACAGATATTTTTTCGACTGAAACTGACTTTTATCAATATTCTACAGTGATAACCGTAGTTGTCAGGTGTGGTGTTTTTCTTCTTTCTTTACGGTTAGTTATTTAGTTTATTGAATGTAGAATGAAAGTTTAATGCTTGTTGCTCATCGGTTTGAACAGTATAATGTCATTTTTATTTATTATCATAATGTGAATTTCCTACATATTTTCAGGTTGATTTACGTGCATCATCGTTGAATTCGAATGATTGTTTTGTTTTATTTACAAAGTCAAATGTATACATTTGGTGTGGGAAAGGTTCAACTGGAGATGAAAGAGAAATGGCAAAAATTGTAGCTAGTTCGCGAACAAAGTACGTATTTTTGACAAGAATGAATTATTTTCACAAGTTAGAAGGAGAATGATGAAATAAAATTCTCATGATATAAGATTTTTTGTTTTGCATAATTGCTTTGCTTGAGGAATGTTTCATTGAGCATGATTCCAGTTAAAAGAGGAACATCATGTACTTTACACTTTTTACGTGTCTAATAGCGTCATTTATAGTCATCGGTTGAATAAAAAGCAATATTTTATATTGTTAGTGATCCAACAATGGTATTTGAAAGTCAAGAGAAAGATGATTTTTGGAGTTATTTTAACGGTGGTAAAGATGTATATGCGTCGGATAAACGTTTACAACACTCTGAATTAGTTGATAATCATCCTATTCGATTGTACGAAATATCAAATGCGAGTGGAAAAACAACAGCAGTTGAAATACCAAATTTTACTCAGGTATGTTTCATTATTATTGGGTAATAGTAAAACATGAAGACACCCACAGACAGCCACAGACAGCTGCACAGACAGCACACATACAACCACAGACAGCCACAGACAGCTGCACAGACAGCACACATACAACCACAGACAGCCACAGACAGCTACACAGACATCCATGGATGTCTGTGTATGGATGTCTGTGTTTGGA